AGTGTGTGTGGGCGCCAGTGTGTCCGCACGTGCATATGTATATATGTCTATATCTCTATCCATGTCTCTCGCCCTCACTTTAACACTCACACACATATACAGATATATATACATACATGGATGCATCCCCATCGATAGATAGCGTGCGAGCGCGTGAGTGTGTGAGAGAGAGAGAGAGAGATAGATAGACAAGTATTCACGCTTTTTGATCCTTTTATTTTTTTTTTTTTTATTTTTTTTTTATATATATTAATAGAGTTTTTATATATATATATATATATATATATATATATATATATATATATATATATATATATATATATATATATATATATATATCCACTATCATGTCATATTGAAATAAAGTACTCTATTTATTCTAAATTATAAGTATTAAGTAGATTAAAAAAAAAAAAACGAATGGATCATGTTGGGCCCGTCGGGACAGCACAAACTCCACATTGGTATGATATTGTCCAGATTGGGCCGAACCCAACTAGTTTTGCTCTTGGGTGTCCCCAAAAGGCCTCATAACAATGGAGGTGTTATCCCCTCCTTATAAACCATTGAACTTTCCCATATTAAACCGATGTGGACATTGTTTGCACCTCAACAATCCTCCCCTCGAACAAAGGACCACATAGGTCGGACCACAAAGGACCACCGAGCCTCCTCTCAATTTGAGCCTGGGGCTCACACCATCTTTGTTTCGCGCACCAAGCCTCGAACAAAGGACCACATAGGTCAGACCACACAAAGGATCACCGAGCCTCCCACCTGGAGCTCGTCGAGCCACCTGCCATTTGCGCATCGGGAGCTCACCATATTTGTTCGGCACCGAGTATTCAGAAATTTCACACAGATTCCGACAATTTCCACCACATGGTTAAGTCTGGGCCATGGCTCTGATACCACTGTTGGGCCCCGTCGGGACAGCACAAACTCCACATTGGTATGATATTGTCCAGATTGGGCCGAGCCCAACTGGTTTTGCTCTTGGGTGTCCCCAAAAGGCCTCATACCAATGGAGGTGTTATCCCCTCCTTATAAACCATTGAACTTTCCCATATTAAACCGATGTGGACATTGTTTGCACCTCAATAGATCATAATAATATGTAAATTATAAGCACCCATGAGGTATGGTCAAATTACAAAAAACCCCTCATGTTTGGGTAATTAAAACCAACGCCATCAATTATAAATCTTCTTGCACATCTATTCATGCGGTGTTAAATTTAGTGGAATCTTCTAAATTATATGGAATATTCTCAATTGCGTACCCGTTTTATCCAATTCGAATTCCACATTTTGAAGCAAAATGAGATAATAAGATGTGTTTTTTGGTTTGTAAGTATCAGATTGGGGTGCATGAGAAACTGCATTTTTACACAAAACGAGTACAAACTAGAGAACATTCCACGGAATCTAGAAAATTTTGTTGATTTTGACATCATAAGGGTGGATGTGTAAGAAAATTCATAGTTGAGGGTAGTTGTAATTATTCAAACATGAGGGGGTTTCGTAATTTGACCATACATCAGGGGTTGTTGTAATTTACTCTAAAAATAATAATAAAAGGGGCGGAAGTAAATAAGGGAAAATATTGGGGAAGAAAGTGAAATAATAAAAATAGCTGCATAAACATAACGGGCATACTTCCCTTGAATTTGTTTTACCATGGTCAACTCTCTTCTCTCTCTAGCAGACTGAATTTCGGCAAAGCAAGCTGCTGATCATTCACTGCCGGCACCGGAAAATTAGCTGCCGGCCATGTCGTTTTCCGATTCCGATAACTCCTCCCACGGCGGAGAGTACAAAACTTTGCGCCATGTCAGCCGCGATCGTAAGCTCTCTCTCAAACCCACTCTCTCTCTCTAAAAAAACCCTCTCTCTGTGTTATTATTGGAAGGTGATTTGAAATAGGGTTTACGATTGAACAGCATTTTGTTAACTTGAGATTTTGAATTAGTATTGCGGATTGATTAAATCCGGTCAATATATTACTTATAGGATTGTTATATGAAATGCTTCAAACACCCAAATCAGGAGATTCGAGATCATCGTGGAAGGTATATATCTTGCTACACATTGCTATTAGGCTGTACTATGCTCAATAACTCTGTCTCTGTAGAGAAGATTGTTCGATTATTTACCAATCTAGTTAGATTTGATTATTTGTTGTCTTGATTCACACTTCAAAATGCTGAATAATTTTGCTTATCAAGACTCGGCGTTCTTTGTTGAAACCGTAAAATTGGACTTGGAGAATGAAGGCGTAGAGTATTAACTTGATTTGTTTGATTAAGGTAGTCCTCATTGAGCTAATAATAGAATTTTTATTGCTCTATGTTCAGAAGTAGTGGTTTATTACTTTATATCGAGCTTGAAGATAAACTGATAGAATTATCTGGAAACAATCGAACGGAGATAGTTTTGCTTCTAGGGATTTGTGAACATTTTCAGTCAAATTTAGAATTAGGGGGTTCATGTTTTATTATATGATCTGATTATAAGATAAGACTTGACATATTTAATCTGTTAGCATACTTTGGGTTTGTGTATCGTAAGTACTTATTGGATACGCTAAACCTCCCAAACAGGCTTGCATATGAAACGGAGCTCTTTATTCTTGTAATTGCACTTAGTTTTTCTTTGTTTCCTCTGTTCTTTTATGGCACTTTAGTTGTTACAATATACTCTTCTTAGCTACCTAGTTTTGGTCGGCAGGTACTTATCATGGATAAAGTTACTCTAAAAGTGATGTCGAATTCATGCAAAATGTCAGATATCACAGACCAAGGAGTTTCGTGTAAGCATTTCTACGATTGTGGTCATAAAAAAATATCTGTTAACTTATATTTTTACCAATAGTCATCTGATCTTATGTCTCTTTTCAAATAGATATCTGTTCTGATCATTTTTCTTTTCTCGGTTTTCAGTGGTTGAAGACCTTTATAGAAGAAGACAACCTTTAACTTCAATGGATGCCATATATTTCATTCAACCTTCGAAAGAGAAGTACGTTTATCATTTTCTTCAATTTTTCTGTCAGTATATACAAATTAAAAGCAGGTCATATTTGTTCAAATCAACTCATAATTTTTGAAAATTTTACTACAAGTTATTTGAAACCCATTCCTCAAACATTTCTATATTAACGGATGTTTTAGTATAGTTTTAGCAGTTATTGCCATTTTATCTATTATCTGATTGAAATTTCATTCAGAATTACTTAAGATGATACATGACTGACTGTTAATCTCTGCTTCCTTTTCAGCGTCGTGTTGTTCTTGTCTGACATGTCGGGAAGAGAACCTTTATACAGGAAGTATGTTAAAGGACTCTTTCTATACTTGAATTAATGTCTTGCCTATCTGCTGTACCGAGTCTGACTGCAGGATGTCTTCTTCTCTTGGTGTTCGTGTGGATGCAGAGCATATGTTTACTTCAGTGCACCTATATCGAAAGACCTTATTGCTCGCATAAAGAGAGATACTAGTGTTTTACCGCGCATTGGGGCATTAAGAGAGGTTAGAAGTTGCTCATTTTGGCAGTAATAAACTGAACATATTAATAGATAGTTAAATAATTTATTTCGAAACCTTTTGGCAAATTTCAGATGAATTTGGAGTACGTCACGATAGACAATCAGGTAACTGATAATTCACTTTGGTGCTTACGTCTTGATCATGCAACTTGCAGCGTGGAAAACGATAAAATCCAAGTTGCACTATAGCGTAGCTCAAATAATTCTGCGTGTTTATCTGCTAGTAGTATATATATGGTTCTGTCTTTAGTGTGCTGGAAATGGCATCAGTGTAGCAAATTTTATTTACAGGGGTTCATAACTGATCACGAAAGAGCACTCGAGGAACTATTTGGTGATGATGCTGAAAATTCTCGAAAATCTGATGCTTGCTTGAATGTAATGGCCACACGAATTGCTACTGTTTTCGCTTCACTTAAGGTACCAAAAGATAATCTCAGTTGACTATCCGCTGCCTTCTCGTTTTTGTTTATCATTTCGGAGGTAGCGAGTTTGACTTTTGTCCATATATATCTAACATAAAGACAATGGGTGGCACGATGGAATTCTTAAATATTTTCTTATGGTTGGAAGTTTATCTCTGCTGTTGATCTTTGGATCCCCAATAAGTAAAATATGTAATTGGATCTATTTCATTTGTTATCAATGTTTAGTCAACATTGCATATAATTTCCCACTTCAGGAATTTCCTTTCGTGCGGTATAGAGCAGTCAATCTTGATGGTGACACAATGACTACTGTTCGTGATTTAGTTCCTACCAAGCTAGCTGCAGCAGTTTGGAACTGCATTACAACATACAAATCATCTGTTCCCAACTTCCCTCAAACGGAGACGTGCGAATTACTTATAGTGGACCGATCAGTTGACCAGGTCTCTCTCTCTCTCTCTCTCTCTCTCTCTCTCTCTCTCTCTCTCTCTCTCTCTCTCTCTCTCTCCCTCCCTCTCCCTCCCTCCCTCGATCTATCTATCTATCTAATCATGAAGTTGTTGCTTTAGATTGCTCCAATCATTCTCTCTCTCCCTCCCTCTCTCTCTCTCTCCCTCCCTCTCTCCCTCTCCCTCCCTCCCTCCCTCCCTCGATCTATCTATCTATCTAATCATGAAGTTGTTGCTTTAGATTGCTCCAATCATTCATGAATGGACCTATGATGCTATGTGTCATGATCTGCTTAATCTGGACGGCAATAAATATGTGTACGAGGTAAATTCCGTGCCCAAATACTTTTTTTTCTTTCTGCATGGCAATAATTGCGTATGAGGAATCTTCTGATGACGTATAAAGGATTAGGTTCCCAGAAAATCAGGTGGTCCGCCCGAAAAAAAAGAAGTCCTTTTGGAAGATCATGATCCTATTTGGCTCGAGCTCCGTCACACTCACATAGCAGAGGTGTGTGTTTACTCACGCACTGAATTTCCCCTATTGTTGTTTGTTCGGTTTAGTGTCGGTGGTATTTTTCTCACCTCGAAATTTTCAGGCTAGTGAACGGTTGCACGACAAGATGACAAATTTTGTTTCGAAAAACAAAGCCGCTCAATTGCAGCAGAGGTTCGAGAAAACAAAAAAAAAAAGTTTTTTATTTGACTAATCTTGCCTCGTAATCAATTTCTGATTTTCGAGTCTTTACCTCTTTGTAGGAACGGTAGTGAACTTTCCACACACGACCTTCAGAAAATGGTTCAAGCCTTGCCGCAGTACAGCGAACAGATGGAGAAGTTGTCTATCCATGTCGAGGTTTTCTCTACTAATTGTTCAATGAATTTCTTTTCACTAGCTATCGTGTAACCTTGATTTTAAATTGTTGATGATAGTTATTTTACGCAACGAAATGTTGGATAGGGTTCTAATTTTCCTTCTGATACAGTAGAACCTCGATAAATTAATAACCTCGTTTAAATGATAATTTCTTACGGTCCCGAGTCGGTAAAGACATACAAAATTAGTAGCTCGATAATTTAATATTTCGCTAAATTAATAGAATTTTGTTAGTCCCGACTGTATTAATTTATAGTGGTTTAACTGGATATCAATTTTATTTAAGGGAGGACCAATGAAACATGAAAAATGTGATTGATTTACGAAAACAAAATTGTATTTGCTTCATATAAACTTGCAAAATGCTGATTCTCTCTCCCCTTCAATCAGATTGCTGGAAAACTTAATAAAATAATTAGAGATATGGATCTTCGAGAACTTGGTCAACTTGAGCAGGACCTTGTATTTGGCGATGCAGGAACGAAGGAAGTTATGAATTTCTTGAGAACGAAGCAGGTATTATCTTTATAGCTATACTCAGATACACCACTGGGAGTTACATGCTTGGTTATGAACTTATGTTATATCATGGTAATTATTTTATTTATCCGACAGGATGTAATGAATGAAAATAAACTGCGGCTGATGATGATTTACGCTAGTATCTTTCCGGAAAATTTTGAGGATGACAAAGCGTCACAACTCATGCAGGTACACATGCTCGCATACTTGAATGCATACGTTTTTTTTAATACGTTTTTATAAATTTTGTACTTTTTCTTTATTCATACATGCGTATTTGTTCACTTTCCAATTTCTGATGCCTTGTATTTTTACGGAAATGCATCAATCCGCCGCTATTTAGAGATGATTATTCTGCATTAAAATCTCGGCCAAATTAAACCAAGAAATTCAATTGCAGACTGAAGGCTAAATTTTCATATGGTTATTTTTTTTTTATGCTTCTTCAGTTGGCAAAGTTACCACATGCGGACACGAAAGCTGTGAAAAATATGAAACTGATTGCGGGATCCGATACAGGAAAGACTTCAAAAGGGGCATTTTCACTGAAGTTTGATTCAGCAAAGGTAAATATATTAATGGGTAAATTGCAACCACCTCCCCAAGGTAAATTGTAATTACAAAAAACCCATTCTTTTTTAGAAATTACATCCAGCCCCTGCAGTTTGTAAATTCCTTACATCTACGCCCTGCAAAAGGGTGTTAATGTAAGAAATCTACAAATTGTAGGGATGGATGTAATTATGAAATAATGAGGGGTTTTTTCATAAATAGACCTTACCTCAGGGGGCGGTTGTAATTTACCCATATATTAATAGACTCGCTATATTCATACGCATAATCGTAGCATGAGGCTAACTTTAGACGTGAAAGTCACTAATTTTGTTTGCTTAATTATCAGAGTAAGCATAAACTAAGAAAGGATCGATCAGGAGAAGAAAAGACATGGGCACTATTTCGGTTTTATCCAATGATAGAGGTTTGGTTTAAGATCAAAATGCATATGTTTGATGTTTTCTTGAGTTTGAATACGCGTATAATAATAACTTGGTTTATTTTTTCAGGAGTTAATCGAAAAGTTGAGCAAAGGAGAATTGCCGAAAGACGAGTACCAGTGCATGAATAATCCTAGTCCTTCAAGTAATGGGAACCAAATGAATAATAGTGGAGGCTCACATGGTCCACATTCAATGAGATCAAGACGAACTGCCACATGGGCGAAATCTGGCTCCTCCGACGATGGATATTCAAGGTAGCCACCAGGCATTCTTTCTCTGAATCAAGAAAATATTGGCCCATTTTAATAAGTATGAGAAATATTTATAAGTTCCCTCTTTTTTTCAGTGATTCAGTTTCGAGAAATAGCAAGAAGATGGGGCAGCGAATATTTGTTTTCATAATCGGAGGAGCAACTAGATCTGAGGTAAATTTTTAAATTTATAGTTGTGTTTCTTTTTAAGCAAGTAGTTTATTTTACATGGGATTTTTTGAAACGGTCGTTTTTCGGTGTATTGTTCGTTCTCAGCTTAGGGTTTGTCATAAGCTTACAGCAAAACTAGGGAGGGAAGTAGTTCTCGGTACAACAAGTATCGATGATCCACCTCAATACATTACGGTAATTAAGACCACATTATTCGCATTATATATATATATATATATATATATATATATATATATATATATATATATATATATATATATATATATATATATAGGAATCTGTATAATCATATATTGCATAAAGTCTAATCATATATTGCATAAAGTCGGCATCGAATGTTCTGTTTTCTTGATTTTGAAACGATGGCGATATAGTAATTATATATTTCTCATGATCCACAGAAACTTAAGCTCTTGTCCGAAAAAGAGCTCCTCAATTGATGGTGTCCGTACAATATAATTTCGTCACACACCTCCGCAGGTTGGTCTTATTGTTCTAAATTTTTATGGCTTAATCGTTTTTTGCTATATATCCATCGTCAGTTTGAAAAATAACCGACTAGATAAAACATGCTGGGCAGCTGACAAAATTTTATGCTTTACTCTTTAAAGTTTCGATTTGTTTATATCTGACATACAAGGATGTTTGAGTAATTGTAAATTGTAATTTCTCAAATGAATTTGTTTGATAATTTGATATACCGATTTAAAATCTATAAATCATAAATTCATTATTGAACATAATTAGTTTACTCAATGGAAAATATCGTTGACTAGTCAATCTTTTCGAGGTTTCGAATAAGCCTTCAAGCCTGCACTTGTTTTAAATTTAAGGTGAATTACAACTCGCACCCCAGAGGTAAGGTCTATTTACAAAAACCCCCTCATTTTTCCATAATTACATCCACACCTAAAATTTGTAGATTTCTTACATTAACACCCTTGTAAGGGGTGGATGTAAGAAATTTATGATAACCCCTCATTTTTTCATAATTACATCCACCTCTAAAATTTGTAGATTTCTTACATTAACACCCTTAAAAGGGGTGGATGTAAGAAATTTATGAAAACCCCCATTTTTTCATAATTACATCCACCCCTAAAATTTGTAGATTTCTTACATTAACACCCTTTGGTAGGGGTGGATGTAAGAAATTTATGAAAACCCCTCATTTTTTCATAATTGCATCCACCCCTGAAATTTGTTGATTTCTTACATTAACATCCGTTTGTAAGGGGTGGATGTAAGAAATCTACCCTAAATTTTATCATTCGATACAATCAATGTCTTCATTAGTCGATGCATACGTCAAAATATCAAGATCAAAAGAGGCTTAAACGAGAAATATTTGCTAATAAAACTATCAATCCGAGCTACCTAAAGTACAAAAAAAAAAAAGCACAGCAGTATAACTGAAAAATCTCTACTTTGTGCAACTAATATTACATGATTATTGTCAAACAACTTTGGCACAAGAGATTTCAACATGTAGGCGACAAGAATCGTCGACAATGAATCCCTTTTTAGGATCATTAATAGTTGCAACCTCGATGAATGAAGCCCATCCCCAATCACAATTGGTTTTCGTAAACACCCTATCAGTAGCTGCGAGAAAAAATAACGTAAGTATTTCGCGAGAGAGGTTAAAAAATGTGCTTAATTAATGATGTTGTAATAACGTACAGTTTCGTTTCTTGTGATTATCAGAAACCTGGTTTTCGATCCATATAGTGTAATTACATAGTAGCACTCTTTCAGAACCAAGATAGCACAAATAGATGGAGACGCCTCGGTTAACCACATTAGTGTCTCCTCTCGGGTAAACTACGACTCTCCTAAAATTTATCGACAGAAATCATGTCAAATTAATATAGTTCTGAACAAATTATACATTTCCAATAATTAAAACGAAAACTCATTTATTAGGGGTTTTTGTGCTGAAAAATACACTGTAATGGGGAGTTTTTAGCAATTAAATATAATACAGGGGTATTAAATGCAATAAACACATAACAAAAAGGTGGGTACCATTTTTGGCCTTGAGCAATGAATTCTTTAGAATGCCATATATATCTGATTTTAGAGAAGCTTGAAATCGTCCAATTGCGAACGCTTGTCAAAGACACGCATTCGACGATTGCTTCTCTTGTAAGGACAAAAACCTCAGCGCCGAACACACAGTTGTCGTTGACGAGGTATCCGTTTGACGAATCCAACAGAAAATCCCTAGAGATAAATTTCGCAAAACCCCATTCCGACTTTATTCCTACGAAACGTCTCGTTCTTCCTGTCTCAATCAATCAGCGTGTTTTTTTGTGTTGTAATAAATTATTATCACTCCTTAATTAGCCGTTTAAATAAACCGACAAATCAAAAGAATAATTAACGTATATACCCGTTGAAGAAAGATAATTGCCCGAAATCTGATTAAGAAGAAAGATGCTGAAGACAACATTGACTTCCTCGTTCGCGGAAAGACAACTTGTGTCCGCCATAGCCAAGTTTACGGATACATAGTCGCTATCGTTTTCGTTGCAATAGATTATTAGTCTCCTGTACAAATTCAATTTCATCGTATCGATCATCTTTTCATAAACATTTTTTGGTTGCAATTTTTTTTTCGTTACAACAAATATAACAAAATAAAATACACACACCATTTGTATTCTCCGGCCGTAAATTCATTCGATTCGAATTTGTCGATCCCGCACGTGCCAAACGAGGAGAAAGATTCGATCTTCGTCAGAAAATGTGCAGGTGGTGCCTCTCTTGTTTCCATTGTGGCAACCTCTAACCCTAATATATAGATTCAAATAAATTCACACACACACATGTACACACACAAACACATGTATACACACACACACACAAACACATGTATACACACACAAGAAATGAGAATTATCATACCATTATCTGCTGTTGGTTTCATAGAGATATAGTTTCCCATCGTCTTGTATTGTTTCTGCAAGGCTTTGTAAATCAAATAACCAATCATATTTAATAAACCCTAATTTAATCATTGAGGTAACGTGAAACGAAAGTCATGTTTAATTAATTTTTTTATTTTTATTTTGAATATTATCTATCATCTCTATAAAATATAAATATGGCTCTATTTATGCAATCGGGTAATATATTGTTGATATGACATATTTGACCTTTAAGTGAGCGGGAAAAATATTGTCCTCGAAACTCAAACTTTCTAAAATATAACTGTTATTAAATTCCAATTGATAAGCTCTTACATTTAACAAGCTGTTTGAAGAGTTGATAAGCTGTAATATCTTATTTTTTAGAATTAATTTTTAAAGTGTTTGAATAATAAGCTTATAAACTATTTTTAGTCATTTCCCAAAATTCAGCTTATTCTACTTTAGGGGTTATACTGCAATTGATTATTTAAATTATTCTAATCATTTCCCAAATTACCACTAAAAATATTAAATTACCTTTATTAGCTTTAAAAATTCATTCGGGGTGCACTATGCATTATTTATTGTGTTTCGAGGGTGAAAAATACTAATAATTTGTTTCGAGTGTGCAAAAAATGTCAAAATGCTATGTGTTAAGAGTGCAAAGTGGAATTAAGCCTATATATTGATGAGTTCATTTGACTTAATTATTCTTGTTTTTGTAATATAATTAACATTACAATATTACTAATATGAAGTTGAGAAATAATAATCAAGATAACGTTTTCACGTTTTTAAGTAAACAAACTAACATTTTCAATATACATCATCTTTCTGTTGTAAAAATGAAAAAAAAAAAAAAAAAAAAAAAAACCTCTGCAAACATACATTCCTCATTTTTCCTTGAGTTTTTCCCTTGCCTGCAAAAACCCAACATACAAATTGAAAAAAAAAAAAATCAATTACGAATCCATTTCCTAAAAAAAAAATCGAAAAATCGAAAAAATTGAAAATTCATTCCTGTGTTTCAAGGTTTGGCATAAAAATATACGCATGCGCACAATTAGTTTACCTTTTCGAACTCCTTCTTGTACAAGTATCCCTGCATGAGGAAAAAAAAAAAGACGAGTAGAAAATTCGATGAATAAACGAGTGATGCGTAAAATAGGGCGATAATAAAATAATACGATAGAATCGACAAATTAAACCTTGTTGGTTCCATAGATATAATCACAGTATGTGTTTACTGATGCAAAATTGCTTTGGCGTTTCCCTCCCACAAAGTGATGGTTATCATGTAAATGTGCTCCTCCATAAAATGGTATATTCTTCAAAGGACTCCATGGGAAATCATTCCTATATACCAATGTTAATTTATTAATTAAATAGATCCATCTGACTTTTTTTTGTGAAGATAATAGAGTCGTCTAGCTCAGTATCGTCCACTGGCTCTGTGC